CATTTGTACAATGACAGTGGCGTGAGATGTTATTAAATAGAGATAGATCTGAATAAACGCATCAGAGACAATCGAGTGTTATATGCAAATCTTTCTCATGTCATGCCATTTCACATGTCAGTTGATATACAACCAGGATAACACTGCTGCACCGGTGTTACTGTTGCGTTAGAGTTTCCAGAACACTTGAGGTTTCACTGTTAATATGTCAATATCCTACTACCATGGCAGATGCTTCAGAAGCAGTCGCAAATGCAAGCCACGCTTGCTGCGGAGCTGTGGAAGATATTGGCGATATGGTTGAATCAAGCGATACAAGCGAATGCAGAAAACTATCGTCTCGTATGCTTGCTATTGAGGTGTGGCTAGTTTCTTTGTTCGATCTAATCACAATACTGGACTCAACTGATCAGTTCGGTCTATATGTCTACAAAAGTCCGGAAGCATAATGGACTCTACTGGCAATATGTTTAGCGTCAACCATGATGCAGGTTATGTACGCTTATCTAATGTTTAAAAGTTATTTCTCTGCATGCAAGATCAACAAACCTGTCAACACAGTTGTTCCAGAAAACAGTGAAGGCGAACAGACTGACGATAAAGAAATCGATAACGAAACATACAACCGTGGCAGAAGTGTCATTGAAATATTGTCAGTTGTCTTAGAAGATCTGCCAACAATTATTATATATTTTCGTTTCGTCTATCCTTGTATGGTTGGCTGGCTCAGTACGTGGCTGCTCATAGCATGGTGGGCGTCCATTGTAAGTAGCCTTGTGAAAATAATGGTGATGTTCGTGAAACTTGTGGTTTCGTGTTCTAAGAGCGATTCAAGGAAGATAGGAACCTATATTTTGGCACTGGTTTTTGTAATTCCAACTGCCATAGCGACATTAGTTTTAGTCATAATCATGATGGTGAAAGCACAGTTGATAAACGAGTTGGGAGTATACGTGTACCACACTACTTACTACTTCTCGACCTATACAAATGAGGATGGTAATCTGGTTCGTCTGTGGGATCCTAGTGGTACGCGATACGGTGATTATACACTATTGTTCAATGCTAGTGACATCATCAATAATGGCGAGAACATCACACATATTCAGCTGCACTGTAACAGCCTGTTTCCGGCATTCTCCTACAACAAGGTGGATTATACTGTCTGTGGTAATTACTCCGAAGATACTTACCACATCACACCGCATGCTCAGTGTGAATTACATTTCTATTTCAATTATAAACTCACATACGATGGAAGTAAGCGCATACACTTTATCGCAAGTTCAAATGGTACGTTTGAGACGTTTTCCGACTGGCGATGCTTTGGGAACTTCACGAGTGGGTGGAAGAATACATATGGAGGCGATGATGTCCATAATGTATATTTCAAGTACCCATCCGATGACCCACGGGACAATCACGTGTTCGACACTGACTTCTGTGGAAATCCAGTTCGTGACAGTTCATTGAACGACTGATCATTGATAGTGCATAACTACATTAAACACGTGTACGTATGTGAACTAAGAATTGATCAAAGAATAGCAAATTTAGAATCAAAATACTTTCATTTATTGTATGAAATTATGTATGTAGTATAATTATGCACTTTTCGTATACATCTTCGTTTCATTCCAGTAACTGATGATAGAAACGAGTAATTTTACTCATGATCTCTTAATAATGGTAAAATGACTTTTTAATATATTCAAATTACTGTAAGACTGACATTTAATTTCACTATTTTGATGTTTTGAGCAGAATCAATGTGTTTTAATTTCACGATTTCGTCAAGGAAACAGTGGGTTGTATTGTAATATTACATGGTCAAATAGATTTAATTAAACGATTTTTTCTTATCAGCGAAAATAGCGAAATTAAAATCCAGTGAATAAGTAATGCATTTACCAGTAGTTCATTTGGGGCAATGTTGACATTCTGTTGTGTTGAGTTTCGGCGAATTTCATGCAAACAAACCATGCACACGTCACTATAGGTCCCATATTGAACAGGAAGCGGTGCGATGACCATAACATTGAAACAGCATGTCACCAAGCAAACTATTCAGATAATGTAGCACAATGATATTATCGAATCGGACAAAATAACCTAAGTATGCTGTTGTATAGAACATGAACGCCAATCA